CTATAATAAACACATGATATAAATTTCCAATTTTATTTTCCAAAAAATGAAAAAATCAGCCACGTTCACCTAATGTTGCACAATATGGGAATCTAGTTTTTCTTTCTTTATTTCATCGTTTTTAGAATATAATGATGGGTATAAACCCTTCCGTCACAGCCGAATATAATTTTCTTACTTGCTTCACTTTATATCAGAGATCCAACATCAAAATGGCAACCTTTGGGGACTGGCTTCTAAACTAGCAATGAAAAAGTTGAAGTGTATGAGTCGGTCAACCTGCCTTACGTTACTAAAAAATATCGTTGACACGCTCCCACAAACTACGTTCCACTAGAATGTAATTGAAGCGAGGAATACAAAATTAAAATCGATGATGAAGTGACTGCAACCAAAAAGCTGATTAGCGTAAATGACGGGACGGGCCCTGATGGCATTCCCAACTACGCAATAAAGTTAACTACAATTAGCAAAGAATAATTTGCAATCGCATCGACGAGATAGTGGATGGCAACGATGACCTGTGCAAATATAATTGGCTCAGCACTCCGCCTTGTAGCGACATTAGAAGTTAAAAATGCTTTCAACTCCGACAATTGGCAACGCGTAACCGGCGCAATATCCACCTGCTACAGGGATAAAAAACTCCTTTGCGCAACAAATAAAGAACGCGTGAAACGTTGTCCGGGTCTGCAGAAGCTCGTGTATAATAATATCTTGCGTCTTCTACTTGGACAGGAGCTCAAAGTCGTAGGAACTGCAGATGATGTTGTCCTAATAATCGTAGTAAAGCCGCTACAGGCATTTGGGCTTCTGATCAATAACAGTATCGAGGCAACACGCACATGGCTCTTGTCGACATGACTGAATCTGGCGGAATAGCAAACGGCGGCGTGTTTAGTAATATCGAGAATGTAGAGAGAGTTACGCTTAAATATTATTTCAGGATGCAATTCGATATTTAGATACCGAGTAGCCACTATCGTTCAAAGTGCATCTCAGACATGTCATCCAAAAATCGACAAATGCGGCAAAGGCTAATGCTATTAATGCGCAAGCGACGTCGAACAAATTTAAACTCCATAATGGTAAGATCCATAATTTTGTGTAGATTCTTTTTCTGCTATAGGGCAATGATTATTTCTTTACATAAAAGAGACATCTTAATAGAGTTCTATGCATGCACAGCGTTTCGCACTACTCCCAACGACGCGGCCATGGTCATTGGAAGTATTATTCCAATTGAGCTCCGGGCTAAGAAAGCGGCACAAACTACGATGATAAGGCGCCAATTGTAGTGGAGTGGATTGAATACACAAGGGGCAGATGAACGCATAAATTCATCGCGAATATAGGACAATGAACGCAATGAACGCGTCCGATCACTTATATGTGACTCAATTCACCGAGCTTGTAAGGAAGCATCTATTTCCTTACTGGCTGCCTCAATTTTTTACGTATTTAAAATGTTATATAGAGTACATACATCGCATCATGTCGACTCAAGTATTGACTAATACCGATTTTCAAAACAAACACAAATTCCCATTAACTTCCACTCTTGTTCAAAGGTATTATTCTGATGAGAAGCTTTAGTATATACACGCGTAGCTAGGTTATTCTGAGTTACAATAGCACTAAATTACTTTCAATAAACAAACGCTTCTACTCCACAGTTCACTTTTGTAATTATTCTCTAAGCTATGTACTTTACTACCCTTGTAGGCTACTCTCAATGTTGTAAAGGTTTTATACATACCTTACTTTCTAGACATTTAAACTCACCACTGAGCTACGTTATGCTCTGGTTGTATAAGCGCGCACACATATAGCGGCGACAGGTGAAAGGTATGTGTTGTAATAGTTAGCAGGCAACAGCTACAAAAGTAGCGAATAAACGACGAACTTGATTTAGCTGCTCAGCAGCAGCCAAAGCTATAGGTAAGTTAAAATGCTTACTAAATACTACTAGGATGCAAAATGCGTTTACATCCTTACTTTGTAGACTCTTGGTCCGAAATAAAACCTTTACATGGCGATAACATACAAATTACAAACTAATAGTTATGATAGCGATCATTCCTAATCCGTTACAAACTGAGGTGATTTTAGCTGATAATAGTTTTCCACCTTACTCGCCCCGTTACGGGTATATCCTCACAACGAAATCCAAAACCAGCGAAATTTAATAAACCACAACACAATATTTCCACACTCACTCATTTAGGTACTGTAAACAAATCCTAACATTTCTTTCCCACATCGACACATACCGCTAACAAAAAACAAAATCACAAAGTAACATAAATAGTGTAATATAATTGAACAATAAACATAACTTTAAGCATTTTTACGTAAGTTACGTGAGTTACGTAAGTTAGCTTAGAATAAGTTAGTCTTCAACAATTCTTAAGAGTCTTCACCATCCTCGCAGGTTTTAACGCTCGTTCGCGCTTCCGCAATTTCTGGAGTAATCTTCAAGAAGTTTTAAGTTAATTCAATGTCATATTCAATGCTCAAACAATTCATGTTTCTTCCTTCGTAATTACAACAAGAAGTAAAAAGAGGGTTTGTTATAAACAAGGAAAGCTTTAACTGTATAATCGAAAATAGAATGTATCCTTAAATAACTTGTGTGTAAAAAGGTTTGAAAGGGATTGAATATAGATAGAAAGAAAGTGTCGAGATGAAGTAACAGTTGCCAAATATGCAGTCGGGGCGATTAGCACGCAACTCACTAGCTTAACTTTCTGCAAGATATTAAATATGAGGAAAGTCTACACGAACACACAAACGGCAACCTCTCAATCATAAGTGCTAAACCACTAATTAAATCAAGGAAAATTAGCGTAGATTGGACGATCCATAGGATGAAAAGGAACAATCTTCCCTTGAGACGCTTCAAGTGCCGAGAAGCAGACCACATAACGAAAATAGCAAAAGTGATCCCGATAGAAGTTGATGCTTAATTTCTACCAAAAAGCGCCATTTGGTTAACAATACGGAAGCGACGTCTGACAGGTTGTCCTTTTAACAGGATAAGTAAGAAGTTACCGTGTGCAGAATGAATTGGAAAGAGCATAAGAGCACACCATACTTATTTACAGATACTTTTGGCGGTCGCGGCCCTTTTCGGCTCAGAATTGACTCCTTAGTGGAAAACAAATCGCCTTACAAAGCCTGATCGTGATCTGAACAGGTTAATTGACAATTACTTTAAAGAGTGCTCTGCATGCATCATAATCGAGATACAAGGGTTTGAATGTAATAACGATCGCAGTAAGCTGCGGATAACGATCTTTAACACAGAACATTTGAACTAAGGCCGACATACGCTATTTAACGGTAATTCCAGGGAAATTATCGCCAGACTTTAAACTCTTTCCCCATTCAAAAAGAGGAAGAGAAACACGCACGCTAAAATAGTAATATATATATATATGTATATATACATATAAATATATACATAGCACGTTATTAGGGCTTGTCTGTGATTTTGTTTCTTTTTGTCGCTCAATAAAAATAAAAGTGTGCTGACCGATAGAGCAAATATGGCAGTGGCCAGTCACTTGCACTCTTTTGCGAAGGAAAAAGAGAAAAAAGCAAGACAGCTGCGCAAGGAACACAGTGTCGGACATGTAAGATCGGTAAAAATAATGAGAAGGAAAGGAGCCAGTCAGCATTTGATTCTTGAGCTCACGTCCTGTTCCTCGAACTTCATAATTTCAAATTGATTTCAAAAAAATGGTCCGGGGAGCAATCGAAAATTCGTAAAGGTCTAAAATTAAAAGCGTTATTGAGTGAATAAATATGTTTCTCGTGGAAAAATGTCCCACAATTCGCTATAGTCCATAAGTAATGAAAATTTTAAAACAGGACAACGATGTTATATCACTTGAAATAAATAAAAAGAAAACTAAAAACTTCCAAAAAACGTTAGCAGCATGAACCAATGTTTTATTTATCAAAATGTTACTTAGGGGAAATTAATTAATTAATACTAGTAATATAAAAAGTTGGGCATCGGACTAACGATAGACAAGTAATGTTCCTTTGAGAAAGGAACACTACTATGAAGAACGTTAAGTGCTTAAAAAAACCAATAGGTTTAGTACAGTAGAGTAAAGGAATGCATAACGTACCTGGAATGGAAGACATGCAAGGCGAAACATAAGAAACGAAAAAACATTGCACAGTTTTCCATCTAGTCAGAATTTTGCATCTAGGACAAAAGTGAAAATACTTTATTTCATAAAAAGAGACCATAACTCAATATATGCGTAATGATTTCAACAAACGAATTTTCAAGATGTCATCTAAAGATATAAACTTCATTTGTAATTGTTCTTGGAGTATTGGTATCAATATGTATCCACTTTTACACTTTTATTTTAAACAAATTCCAAAAGCGTGTGCCACGCACACTGAAGTAAGCGACTTCGATGGATGTTCCCAGAGTTTGTCTCCAAAATTATGTTTTTTTTTTCACCTAAAACTAAATCTTGTTTTTTACATCCGGCGATGAGACCCCACTATAGAGAAGTCGTAGAGAATGTGAGGAGTCGTATGCTTGCAGGCTTCTCTGCTATGAACTCAGCTACCACGGAAACCTACGACTTCCAAACAGTAACAATCCATGAAGCCAAAGTTTCCAATCTCAGAAAAGAAATAATCTTTTATATGGAGGATTGTTTTACAAATTGTGATGGGCCCTGACAATCGAACGTAAATTACCCATCCACAAATAATATGTTCACGTCGTGAAACGACTAGCGCTCAAATATTTTTTTAGAGGTATATAATATATTATTGAAAAGAGATATAGAGTGGCCCACTGTTGTTACCACTAAACTACGCCACTTTGATATTTTACCTAGGTGGTAGCCATTGTTCACTCCATATGCTTAATTTCTTTCTAAATCGCAATACAATATGTAGATGCATAAAATTCAGCTTAAGCCTACTAAAACCTCTCTCTTTTCTTTACGAATTGTACTTACTTGTCACGTATGTTGAATGATTTCTGACCCTCCAAGCTTTCTATAAACGTTAATACAAAGTACTTATTACTTATCAATTGTTCGAAATGTAACATCGCAGCATCGTAATTAGTATGAGGACTATTCATGCGCAACTAAAAAAATACATTCTTATGACATATTCGTACATTTTTCAGTATACTTACTTTCGGCGAATTAAGGATAGGATGATCAGAGACTCCAGGGAAAAATACTTTCATGATATAATTGACATGATTCAACGTTGGAATACCGGAAGTTTCCAAATCTGCTGTTAAATCCGTCATGTCTGTTTGCAATTCTGCGAAAGCTTGTTTACATTCAGAGCGCACATTGCTTTCCAAGGTAATCATTTGGATTTGTATTCGCTTATATTCACGTTCCGCTTGAGTGGTTTTTCGTCTGTATATAACCAATATTATTATCAACAAGATGACTATCAAGGAAATTGTGAAAATGATTCCCCATATAGCATGTGAAAATGAATAGGCCTTCATAAGATCATATTTTAAATGGCCAACGACAAAACGTAAATTGCGTCCTACTTTAACAACAACTAATGGGAAATCAGACGTTTGTTCCAGGCCACTCTCATCGGTGGGGATCGGTTGTTTCTCCGGAGGAGTACATAGAAGTTGAGTAAGTGTGAGACTTGTAACATTGCACTGACCAATACCAATTGTAACGTTAACGTCAGATTCGTCGGAAGCAATATTTAGTAATTCTCCCTCAATAACTAATGTGTCTCCTTTGTACAATTTTATACCTTCGGGAAAGGCGTGGTATTTAGGATCCGACACGTAAGCTATGCTACTACGTATTGTTGAGAAGTATTTGCCGAGATCACGTACCCATTGAACGTTATCCATAACAAATCCCACTTGTAAATTAAGCTGAGTCTCACGAACTTTCACGAAAGCAGCAATATCTTCTCCAAAATAACCATTATTGGTAATATTGCTCAGTGATGTATATCTAAATGAAGCATTTCTTTTAAAAGCGCTACGTTTTTTAACATCTATGTTTAAAGATGACGGCGAATCGATATCAACTCTAGTAAGCTGTCCTTGCTGAAATTTTTTTTCCAGCGACATTTTGTATTCCCAAAATTTAGCATTCACCACCGGTGAAGGACATTCCATTTGGCTAGCATTTATGACTATACATGTTGTTTTGTTTATCCTTTCGGTGCCAAAAAACACTTCCAATTCAGGGTTCTGTATAGAATCCAAATACATGCCATGAACTGTCAGCAGTCTTCCCCCACTAGCAAAGCTTCGCAGAGGCTTGATCTCCATGATAGTAGGATCATGGGTGTAATTATATATAGAACAAAAACGCGGCAGATGGGAGTGGTAATGGTAGGCATACTTCCCGCGAGTTGTTACTAACTCGTGGTCATATGCGTTTATTGGCCTTTCAAGATGGTTTTCGCAAGTATAAGTACGATTTGCACCGTCTACAAACAAACGTAGTGTGCGTATAGGTTCAGGTTGAGTCGCTTCTGAGGTAACACATGTCAAGCGCGAAGAAGATGCCTTTGTCATATTGATGTGACACTCATATTCATCCAAAAAAGCTCTTATATTAGAACCGATATTCAAATATTTCCCCATTAACGAGATTTGTGTTCCGCCTGACTTTGGTCCAACTCTAGGATGCAGACCAATTAGTTGGATATCCTTAAACTGAAATTGTACACTCGACTCCGTAAAGCCAGCGTCATTAAATACTTTAACTGGTGCTGTTATTTCATGATTAACACCGCCCGTCCGACATTCTATTTTAACAGAGATTTCATAATTAACTAATTCGCAGGGTACATTTCCTATGGAAATCTTCCCACGCACATCTTCTTCTTTAATACCTAAATTACTACCTTCAATAGTCACCAAGGTACCTCCTTCGATAGGGCCAAACAGTGGTTTAATCATGTCTATGCGAGGACGAGGACAGTCATTTGCTCTCGATAGTGGATAATTAGACGGTTTATGCATTAATCCGTGATCCGTCGTCAGCGTCATTGATGAACAAGTGTCATTGTAGACACATGAGTTTCCACACCACGCACATTGATATTTGGAATCGCGAGTGACACACAAACTGCAATCTGCATGCTCACGATGTGATCCCAAGACATCGCATTTGTATAAAGTGATTAAGGCTGTATCAATGTAATGCTGTCGATTCCACGTAATGTCGACTTTTGCTTCGTATTCATATGTGTTGGTTTCGTAAAAATATGGTGTTTTTTCGCAAACCACAAAACGATTGGCCTCAATCCGAGCGGGTAATAGCATTTGAGCTGCTTCAATTTGTACTGTGCATAAAAATCCTGAATGTGCGTTTTTAGGTCTAGGTAAGTTTTCAATCTCTAAACGTATTTCCTTTGGTACACGTACGGGAAGCAGAAGAGGCCCTTGCACACGTTTCAGATGTGGGCATTCAAAGTCCTTGGACATCATTTTTTCCAAGTTTCTGCACTGCTCAGATTTATGGACGCATTTGTTGTCAAAGACGCACCAATTACAACTCCAAAAACTACGAACGCATGTCCGACAAATATTATGACGAGAACAATCAAAAAAAGAAAATGAACGCGAAACGAAGTCCTTGTTAGTCTCTGAACTTCTCACAGAAAGTGGCACTAAGACATGGTCCATGTTAGCAGCTATTATTGGGCGTTGATCCAGTGGAGGAGTGTTACATGCCAAGCCGTTTTCTAAAACCTCAGCATCGATTGGCGTAGAATTACCAAAAACACAACGATATTTACCGTTTACTGGTTCAGGTAAAGTTTTTATAAGCAACTGAACTTTTGATACATCCGTAATCGGTAACTTGTCCGGCAAAATCGATTCGAAATCAATGCACTGCTGACCACTACCTAGGGAAAGCCAACGGGCTGCGGCAGTGTCCTTTTGACAAGTTGACCGAATGGTGCACCGTTTTTCTAGGGAACACCAACCGCAGAAAGGATCGCGAGATTCTAAGCAGGCGGAGCAATTTGTGTATAACGAACAATGTTCTATTTTTAATTTTGTTATCTGTAAACAAAATAGGAAAAAGTTGTATCGTAGTTTATAAATTCTTGGAATTAGATGGCAAAGAATATATTCCATTTTTTTTTTTAATACGGGTATTTAACACTTACTGTACTGTCAAAAAAGCGAAGAACTTCAACGAGCTCGAAAAGGATAAAACAACGAACCACAATATAATTTTGACAAGATTGAATAGATATCTAAAAAATAGCCATTCCTAAAGTGCATCACTTTTTTTTTTTATTACAATAGATTTACAGTCTATCCAAGGAGATAACAATTTTCAAAAATTACATAAGGTATATAAATTCTTTGCCAGTTTCAAATTTGGAGAGCACCTAAACATGTCCATCTGTCTATCTGCGCAACTGTGTAGTATGCGGCAAACATTTTCTTGTTAGCGAAAGGGAAGATGTTGCGTAAAAATTTGCAAAAGAACTTGAAAGCGCCCACATATAATATCTACGCAATACGAACTATGAACACTTGCTTTCCGTGTTTTTTGCTTGATATTCATAGAGTAGAACACGTGCTGCATATAAACATCCTCTTTTATTCTGAAAATAGAGAAAACCAGCCTCATCTACCCGATATTATAGAATATGGACATTTAACTTTTTAGTCCTTTCCATGATAACGGCCAAGAGAATGTTCACAACAAACATAGACAGGCAGACTGCTTAAATCTATTCAGAACTTGCTGCCGATCAGGAATATATATATACTGCAAACGTTTTGACAATATGAATATATCCTTCATCCTTCGATGATAGATATAATAAAAGCAAAGAATAATTGAAAAAATCTAGCGGGACACATTCATTTTTTTAAAAACCGTGTAATAATATTCGCAACGTTTGTGCCGTATTGTATCGAAACAACACTTGGCAAGTACTGCCTTATAAGATACCAAAAACATAGAATCTTACATCCCCAAAATGAAAAAAATCAATAACCAAATCAACAAATCATTACGAACCAAAATTATAGAAGCATCTGCCAACTTCATCGCCATTATCGCTAATCTCCAAATAGGCAAGTAATAGTAAAAACAATGTAAATTAGTCATCGGTTAAACGACAAAAATGACAAAAACAAATTTCCATTAACACGAGTAGAAGAAATACTAGACAAATTAGCGAAGCACTATACTTCAGACCTAACTGGTTCTTTCCATGAAATTAAAGTAGGCGACGAATATAACCACCAACGGTTACTATCAACTTACAAAACTATCTTTCAATCTCAAAATATCATCTAACAGCCGTCAACGCATTCTCAGTGCAGCACTTATCGGAGTAGAAATACAAGCTTTCTTGTATGTAAACTAAGTAATAGTATAAGAAAGTAGCTAACGGCATCACAATAACAACCTACTCGAAGTATTCCAAAAACACACCAAATTGAAGCTCCCAAAAATTCGGTTTTCTACAAAAAGAAGTTATATACATTCAACACTTAAGCACACCCGAAGGAATGAAACCAGACCCATCAAGATTCGAAGTCAACATAAATCATCCCATCTCCAAAGAGACAGATGGACTTAGACGCTTCGTAGTTTCCTGCAATTATTGGAAACATTTTATAGAAAGTTGTGCTCCTTTAAATGCACAACTAAAAGAACATGAAAATTCTTTTGGTCGCGAAAATGTGAAAGAGCCTGTGACGAGCACCGCCAAAAACAAATGGGACCTTAATCTGCCAACCTTGATAAACCATTCATTCCCATTCCACAGACTCTTATGAAATATTTTTAGGAGCTATAGCTTTCTCAAAGAAGAATAGTCAATGATTTGCCTATATCCTATGCAGGCAAATTACTGAAAAACAATTACTTGCTATATACTATGGCATAAGATGTTTTCAATCCTACTTATACAGAAAAAATATCGCAACCATTACAGATTAGAAACCACTAATCGGACTTTCCACGCATAGAAGTCCTTCATCGCAACTAACATCAATTAGACTAGAATTAGAATTCATTATGATTTCGATATATATAATCGAAAAAAAATATAAAAAAATCATTCGTAATTATGCATATATGTCTAAACAAACTAATCAACATTCTAATGTAATAAATCGTAAGCAGACTGACCATCTCCGCATGTGGGAGTGCGCCCTAAACGACCTAAAGAAATCAACGGAAAACAAATTTGAATACGATTTCAAAATAAGGAAGAATACTTTAATAAGTGATGATAAACTTACTGTTTCCACGTTGTGATAAAACTCAATTCTTAGATATTTCTCTCGAGAAGGTTATAGAATGATGATAATACATGATATTCGAAGGGTTAAAATATAAAAGGGTTAAAATAGAAAAATATAATACGACGAGGAATAATGACATAATGATTTTAAAAAAATCAATTATGATATAATTAAATATATATTAATAAAACAATATCGTAAGTCGCTGCAATATTGAGACAATTAGTTTGTAAATACATGTGATCTTTCATTGAAAATACAAAATCCACCTTATATTAAAATATGGTCGTCTCCATAGCTTTGCAAGTGAGATTATTTAAGTAACAATAAAATAGTAAATAATTTTGCTGATTAACTTTTTTTACCCATCCGCATCCGCATCAAGCTATGCACCAAAATATGTAATAATTTGTAATTATCCTATAAATTTTGTTTTATTTTTATGTTACTCTTTTGTACTTTAAGTTATTTATAAAAGGCTAATTTTTATTAAACAAATAAGCGTTCTTGTTACATCTAACATAATCTTGACGTCATTGTCCTTCTTTTGCTTTTGCAAAATTGCTGCAAACAGTTGACTTTGCTGCTCTCTGGTCCTGTCTTTAGCTACACAGTAATAATTTTTGAAACGCTATGAGAGCACGTTACAATTACCTCTAGAGAATTGAATTGTTATCAGTTATTTGAAAATAACTCAGAAATGATCTGTGTGCTTGCAATCTATATTGCGTTTCCACGCTTCTCTTAAACGACTAATAGACTTTTGAACGTGTTCACTGCATGCAATCTAGATAATGTCCTGTTTTACGACCACTTGAGTGCTTCCATAATCTTATCTTTCTAACTTATCAGTTCGCAGCGAACTACCTACGCACCGATGTTACATACCGCCCCTAACTTTAATACAAAATGCTAATAGCTATGACAGATAATATATAGATAATATAATATAACTTGGTATCTAACCTGTTATGAGTAAAGTATAGGTGATAAGCTCGTATTGGAAAATTATAAATTAGTGTCAATGAGGAAAAAGGGGCGATATATCAAATATGATGAGATATGTCAAATGTCGATATAAATCAATTAAATTAGAAGTTAACTGAAAGTTGAAAAGGTTCTGAATATAATCACCAAAATTAAATAAATATGGATATTTAATTTATGTTAGATCTGCAATGAACCTCATCTATACGATTTCTTATGTTTATTGGCTTTCAATTAATCAGTAGAACAATATAGTGATTATGTAGAAATGGTATGAAGAAAAATACCAGGTGTTACCTTATTCATGGATAGTACATATAAGAAGTCTTTTCTAGGTGAGGTAAACGTGTCCTGCAGGATCATATTTCCGGGATCAATTATTATTTCTTCGTACTCCCCAGGGTTTTGTCCAGAAAGCAACACTTTTTTTATAGAACCATGCTCAGTTCCAAGAAAAGCCAATGTGTGTGGACCCGTAGTAGTGGCCGTAACAGAAGTTACGGAAACATCACTAAATTGGAATAAAGCATGCGAAGTTATAGGTGCAACCCCGCTAATTTTTAGTCCAACATTACAAAAACTATAGACGTTACTTGTCGTCTAAAAAACGCAAATATATTAAAAATGTATTTATTACATATTTTTGTAAGAGCTTTGTAGCTCCGAATACTTACGCTTGGGCAACGGCCATCATCTATGGTCCCTGATATGTAACCCAAATTTCTGTCCTTAATTGTTCCATTGAAGCATAAATGTATATTTTCATCAAAAACTTCTTCAATTGCTTTTAAACTGTAAAGACACATGGCAGATTTGTTTCCAGGCTGATTTGTTATTTCTAATGATGGTGAAAATATGGTCAACAAAATATAATCGTCGCGTTTTATGCCCATTTGTTGCGCCAATTTTTGTCCTGCTTCAGTAATTTTAGCAGCTCGTAATATATTATAATCTACACTTTGCGCGGTGGCAAGACATTGAATAGTTATCTCCGTATAACTGTCATAATTTGAGTCCGTAATGCAAATACGTGCTAAACGTGTTATATAACCTGCTTCTTCGGCCAAATGTGACTTTTTTTGCACAATTGCAAAATAGGCATATTCAGAAGAATTAAATCCGTAAACATAATCTACTAGAAAGTCATCACGATATTTTACATCAATGTTTATGATAGATTGCTTAATTTCAAACTCCGCGTAATTAAGATCATCTAGCCGTCTTGACGAAATAGCGGGAACATCATGCCGATAATCACCGACATTAGTAAAGGTTGTGCCGACGTAGAGAATGTCTTCCTTTTTCCATGAATATTCAGCAGGTCCCACAAACGCATATGTAGACGCAAATTCGTCGTTTGCCGCCAACGGCACATCAATGAACTGTGGGTTGTTTGGAAAACGTGACAAATTATAAATATCACAAGCCCCTTGCCGAAGACTACCACAAGATATCAATATGCCATCATTTTGAGCATAGCTGACAATCAGTATTTTGTTATGATTGTTCACCAATGTTGTTTCAACGTCATCTGAACAACCACTAGCATGACATTGTGGTGAATCTTGTTTCGGTCCCGTAATAGCCTGGGAAAGAATACGCAAGTTTTCGTTTAACTGAAGTATTTTGTTGGTAACACCAGCGTAAAAGACTTTACGCTTCTCATCATAAGCCAGATGAGTAAAATAGTTTGTCGGATGTAAAGCTCCAGATGAACTTGAAGCATAACTTGTGTTAACTACATTTGAAGAGACGGTTGTTGTCGAACTATTTGTAGATGAAATTCCGACGGTTTGTGGCAAACTAAATTGCGCCACAATGTCGTTTGATAAAAATTGTTGTTTTTGTAGGGTTGAATTAATATTTGTAGATACTAATTTAGTGTTGTATATTACTGAAAACACAACATCAACTTTACAAAGATGGATAAGAATATTGGCATAAATAAAATAAAGTATTGGCCACCGAGTTTCTTTAGTTTTGAACTTGTGCTTAAAACTTTTTCTTTTTTTTAAGCAATGCGTAGAGTTCCTTTCGTAGTGAAATATTTTGTTTAAGTAGGAGTCATCATTATTTAAAATTTTAATCTGCAGCGATAACATTTCTTGATTTTGATGAGACGATAGTTTACCCGTTTGTGTTCGAGTCTAGAATAGGATAGAGATATATTAAGAGTGCTGGGAAAATTTGCCAAATAACTACTTACTGATACTTGAATCAACTACGGGGGTTATATCCAGTTTGTTTGTAACGCAGAGAAGTATATGTCAGAGATTCTTTAAGCTACATTTAATTAGTATGAAGGGCAAAACCTATTAAACCCCATGACTCTGTGTTTACGCCACGGTTGCGACCTCGAAGCTCCGATAAAAACGATGATTTCGTGTTCCTTTCTCACCGCTTGGTTAAATTTAAAACTCAGTTAAATCTCATATGCTCTTCTACAAAAAGTAAAACGTTCAAATTGAAATAAGTAAGAGAATTATATTTGGCCGTTCAAATTGAAATAAGTAAGAGAATTATATTTATATCCATCACCGTTCTGAAAAAGACTAAAACAAATAATTAAAGATTAAGACAAATAGTTAATGGTAAATTATTTTTGGGTTTACAATATTTTTCTACAATCCCTCCTCATCAAGTACATCATTCGTCTTTACCTGTGGTTCTTTTACCTGAGGTTATTTGAGAAAGTTTGTAATTGAATAAACAATAATTATATATGCAATTATCATCATTCGAGTTCCTGCCGCTGAATAGTGCATTGTAATTTTTATACTGTGGCTTATAATCTAATCTAATGTGGTTATACTCTAACCTATAATACAATCATAATAATAATTATAATTATCCCCTCGTAATAATTAGCTCCTCGTAGATAAATAAGTAAGTCTCTTTCAACGTAATTTAAGAAATAATTGTGGTCATACTATTATCGCCAGTTGAAAATGTGATGTGTGAAAGATCTTTTGGAGGAGCATGGGAAAATAGAAGAAATGCGACTCGCTGGTAAGAAAATTGGCGAGAAAGGAGTTGCGATAAATCGGAATCACTATACGCTTTCAAAGACCCTGACAATTACGGTTGCAGCTGTAAATCAAAGAACCAAGCGGAATATGATATTTAATGTTGAGAAAAACTTTAATTTGAGCGGACCTGATAGTCACTTTAAATATTAAAGGGACGTAGGACATACTCGACTAATGGGTTACAAGCGTAACCATGGCGGTAGATTTCTCATGGTAAGTGCAGCATTTGTAGCACAAGAAAAGTTAAAAATATGCTTTCTACCCAATAATTTAGTAGAGTTTGCTGGAGCGTTATATGTTGATAATTTAACATTCCAACAAAACAGCGCTCTCATCCATGCCGCATGGAGTACAGAAGATGTTTTCTCATTCTCAAAGTCTAAGCAGTATTTTACTCTTAAGGAACTTAAACTTAAAATGTGGTTGAAATGTGTTGAGATTGACGTGACCACTTTGAGAGACTTGGTGAGTTGTATGTCACGCGGACTACAACAAATCCCTATTCATAAGGGTGACACAATACCATATTAATTACTACGGAGTAACAATAGAAATTAATATTAAGTTGCATTCTTGCGCATATAATTATTTTCTACGAAAAACAAATTTATTGTGTTCTTTCCGGTACAACACACAAATTATGAATATGTAATTTTTACATTTTTAAAACGTATATATAAAAGCGAAATTAAAAAAGGAATGCGTTGCAAATATAAATATATGGCTCTCTCTAGAAGTTCTTCTATTTTATACCCATTACACATTAATTATGTGGACATTACACTTTTTTAACTAGAATTTTTAAATATCAAGATAATACAGCATTGCAGTTATAATCTGCCTTCTAATTTCCCGCTTTTACGTCTTTCAAACTGCGTATACCTAAGAAAGCCCAATCGGTTTTCGTCTGCCCAATGTTATCCCTGCACTACGATCGTAGAGCGAACTATTTTCATTTGGCTTAGTTTCTGCGGTGCTATTGGTGAATTTGCTATAAACGTTCAAGTTGTGTAAAAGAACTATAAGCTGCAATCATTCTCTGCTTCTTCCTAATAACTGATTAATTAATGAAACTAGTAATGAAATAGGCGTGAATTCTCTTCGATTTATAGGCAAAATATTAAATGATAGCCCAACTCTTCGTGGGCATTAGGAGAAACCCGTCAAAGATTATCAACTTAGATGCAACATCGGCAAACTCACGACTAAGAATCAGTGCGAGGTATCTCCTAAAAAAGTTCTGACAATGTGCAGACCATTAATCCGAACTAAGACTGAATTTGCATATACTACTACCTGTAATTTTCGTATACAGACATTCGAAAGTAGAATTTTAAAACGTTGTACTACACCGGCACCCTAAACTCCTTAACATATCCATTTGATTTCTGGTGCAAGGCCGATCTTCGAAAGAGCTCTTTATTTTACTTTTTTTTGAGAATTTAGCTAAGGTTAAGGTAAGGAATCTTTTCTTCCACCAGAAAGTTATATATGTCAGCGGTGTAGTCCACATAGTCCAAGCTACATATTTTGTTCTCAAAAACTCTACCACATTTTTTATCAATATGTACTTGAAATACATAAGATGAATTATAAATCTTAAACTGAGGGCCGCCACCTAGTATGGATACAAGGTGACTGTGGCTTATTTAAATGAAAAAGCCGATTTCAATGCAGAAAGAACTCAATTTCATAGTACAGTTTTATCCATCGAATATGTCAATAAAAAAATAGGGCTAACTCGAAAACACATCCTCCAGCAACTAAACGATGATTTTAAAGAAATTGCCTGTAGAAAACCTGAATCGCCTGTCTAACGGATATCACTGTATCCAAATGTAATTTTATTTTTCCCAATACCTTTGTGATGTACAGTAACAAGCTTTAAATTCGGTAAAGCATATAAATTCTTGGCTAATTTCAAATTTGAAAACATGTCTATCTGCCCAATTATGTAGTGCCTGTGGTAAGCATTCCCCGCTATTGAAAATGAAGCCGTCGCCTGCAGATTTGCGAAAGAATTCGGAAGTGACCCAAACTTTTCCAATGACACATCTACAACACCCATACTGCGTTGTTTCTGTTTTGGACTGGGTTAGCCTAGGAAAAATGCAGCTGAAGTTGAGGCAATGAAAGTTGGCTTGGTGTGAAAGTATGTAAGCTATACGTTGGTATATGAACTTTAGTGCACAAAACTGTCGTTTTATAAACGGTGACATTCGCATAGGTTATTTTGCTTCGAAACTACGAAGTTTCCAACGCGGGGGCATTCACAAGCTACCCAACAAGAGGCAGAAGACCAGAGGTAATGATGCTGAACATTTCGATTATTAACTTTTGCAAAAGGTATATTTTCAACAAATTTGAATTTTAGTAAGAAATACTGAGAATTTCTTTGCACACCTAGCATTTGCGAAACCTTTCAGACATGGGCTTCCACGACAGAATATATGAAAGGAAGACTCTGTGCAACTGACGGTTCTAGTAGTAGAGTAGACACTTTTGAAGGTACATCAACAAAAGTAATTAGATACATACAAGCCAATGAAAATATAACGTATCAACTGTGGTCAAACGTTGATACCCTACTTTCGCTTAATAGCGCCGACGGTACTTTCGTAAATAACAAGCTAAGCTATTTGATTTCGATAATCTTATATATAAAATGCCCAATTGCTAAATCAACTTAGGCTTAAATATTAGAGTAAACGATATTCTAAGTAGGGATTTTTTGCATCTTACATTATAGTATAAGTTACCTCACTGAATTTCAATCAACCAATTTTTTTTTTTTTAATCTTGAAAAGGTCGTTTTACATAAAAGCATACAAAACTTCGCGAATGCTTGACAGAAAATGCTGGTGAATGGATTGTGAAAAATTATACAAAAAATGACCATGCCACTTGGGGCGAGCAGTGGAACAAAGATATTTTGACAGATAAGTTATAGAAATTCAACAACAGACGCCCGTTGAAAAGCATCTAATTTTAAGCTAGTGCGATATATGCCCTCATATAAGAAAGAGAAATATGTGTATATAGCGAGGCGCACTTGTACAGTCCAAATAAGTGTATAAGCTCATTTCAGTTGCCACTATAACTCACACTTCAACAGTAAGTCCACTTAACATATACCAAAAAATTTCTTAAAAAGGAGTATGTTGAAAAACTTGCAATTTATGAAAAAAAAATTTTCATTTTGCAAATACATTGAGATGAAGTGGAAAAACTCTAGCTTAAATAGTACACCCAAGCGTAATAATCCGCAAAACATAGCAATTGCGGAAACCGGAAGTTTTAAAAGGATTACGTATTTAAACAACACTGCGAATAGTTTCATAATAATGAAAAAAGCAAACATTTGTTAAAGCCATTCGCATCGCAAAAATTCTTCCTCATTCTGTTCTGCTTAAAAATTAACAGCTTTCAGGCGAAAAGACCTTATCAAGAAAACAACTGAAAAATTATAAGTCACTATTGCAGCAGCTAGCGAATAATTGCAGAAAACTTCGGTTTACATTTCATAAGTCTTGCAATTGGGTTTTTTATTCTGAACTGTAAAGTTCTAGGAATTTTTTTTTATTCCTACTTTTACATTTATGTGATAAGACGCACAAAAGACGACTAACTTTTAGAATCTAACTTCTGCATTTTTCGTACTGAATAACTTGCCTTTAATTATTGGCTTAATAGAGGGACCTGAATTATTTCCTTTTTAAAATACAGCGGAATAGTTGCGCGGTTAGCAAGAGATATGGAATCGAAATATTTATTTACGGTTTTTATTTGACATTTTATATGCACTTTAATTATAAGTAGTAACTTCTTTAAACTCGTCGCGCAAACCTTATTTCGCACATGGATGTGTTTTTTTTTTTTTGTGACATTTAGAGCTGTAGAATATTTTACCTTAGATAACGTATGAGTTTGTTTGTTTTATTTCATATTTTGAGGAATTTTTGGTAAGAGGTTCAGAAATTATTAACACAATTTAATTAAAATGCTTTACGATTTGCACATCCTATTTCCAAAAACGCCAACTTCAGTTCACAAAATCACTGCTGAATTTAAGACGTACATACTAAAATTATCGATTACAGTGGAAGAATGAAGTATATTAATTTAAAGGATGAACAACCCTGCATATGATAAGATTGAACATTCTGTTTCAATTCCATTATTAGTCAAACCTGCAGTCTTAAATAAGGATGGCATCCAAAGTTATCAAAGCGAATATTAAAAGCAAGGAGAATTCAATTTCATGATGATTAGCGTCTTTCTCTCTATCAAGGAAACACTTTTTACTGCAGCAAAGGCCATTGAGTTATAAGATGTGCGAATAGGTATATCGCTATGTTTGAAAAACATTATAACAGGCAAAATTAGTAACTGGTACGAAGCAAAGCCATTCTTCTCTATATCTTATTGCGGATTCATATTCTTTTCCCTCGTTTTCTTAGAAATATGAACAATCCATATAAATACAGGTCCTCGTTACAACATGGAGTAAAATTTGCGAATATTATGACACGGTTTCAATACAACGCGATTTGAAAAAGCCGAATCAATCTTCCGCTGAATTTTTTAATTGTTTTTTGACGTTATGTTTATTTTATCGTTAATAGTAGGTCTCTCAATCAACTTTGGGAAAAAAATCAAAGATTAGTTGTAATTTTTGGCGATAAATCATATATTCTTTCATATAAAAACTTACTTTTAACTATTCTTTAAGACTTATGCTCAATAAGACACACTACCTTTGATTTGATTTGCTTTATTTAGAACTACAAAGTTACGTGACTTCTGACAATCGCTGAATGTGTTAAAATTCTAAACCCTTACTACAAAAATCCTGATTATGTAGAAGGTACGTGGTTATGGCCCGCACAGTCCGTCTGGGCATACTATAGCTAAAAATGTGAAGAAGTCTAAAGACACTCCGTCTCTAACACATTTGTTAAGGCCTACATTTCACCGAAATTAGTGCTCCACCAAAGATAATGATGTTCGTAGTGAAAGTGTCGAAGAAGAACCAAACGGCAGGCACATGGTTTAAGCCTATTCTAATGTGCTGATACAGAGAAAATGCCGTAAGGTGTTTGCAGAAAGTACTCTAAAACTAGCTCACTCCCAATCTACTATATCATTGACCTGCTCATCAATATATCACGTTACGGGTTGCCCGCATATGCATCCATCTTATATAAAAACATATTGCCGGACAAAAATTAACGAACCAGAAAAAATTTTATCAAAATTTAACTTATTGTAGAAAAGCCACTTTGTCTTCCTACACAGAAATCAGTAAATTGGATTTAATATAAATATCAGGCTCTTTTTAAATAAAATCATCATTTCTTCTCAATCAACACTTAGGGTTAGTAGGTGCGTTTTATTAACTAGATTATTGCCAATGACCCGGTCGACAATAGAAGTCCCACCAGTATATTGCAAAAAAATCGATTCAAATCTGAATCACAATTGTTTTTTATATAAATAAAAAAGTTACGTATCAAAAGTTTTTGATACAGCTTAGTACTAATTGGCGGTACTCTACGCGGGGCGCCTATACGTATTGGCGTTAGACAAAGTCGTATATATACACATGTATGGACACTAATTAAGTATGGCCTTAAATATGTTTCATTTTCGAGTTTCGATTTTTTAGCTGTGAGTATGCACAAAGTGCGAGAAACGTTCACTCTTAGCTGTCAAATCAAGCGTGAGCTCAATGTCTCACGTTTTGAATTATTGTAGTTTTTCAGAGAAAGTATTAGTTGTTTTGAGCTGAGCCGACTAGTAACTGAATGGTCGTGGGTTCAAATCTCAAGTGCGGTAGAGTTTTTAATAAAGCCGAAAGCCTTAGATGTTAGTGCTTTAAAACTTTAGTTTTAGAATTTATTCTCTGGCTAAATTTATAATAATAATAATAATAATAATAATAATAATAAAAATTAATTACGTTGCTAAATAAAAAAGGTATTATTATTAACAAGGCTTATTCACTCGCCTAAACAAATAAATAAGAAAATACGGTAAGTAAATTAATTTTTTTTTTTTCGCGTTTTACTTCAATTGTCTAATTAATTTTTTATTTTTTGGGTTCTTCTGTTAAAAGCGCATAGTATTTCCTTCACTTTATTTTGCCAATAATTTTATACAAATTTGTTTTTATTTGCGTTTATATTATTTTGTTATGCAATGTATCACTGCGAACAAAACACCCACGTTAAATTTGCCCCTTACTTGCCCATTATTTTTCCAATATCGGCAACCATACGCAACTCTCAGTCAAATGGTTCTCAAGATACTTCTTTCAAGTAAGAACTAGTTAAGTAAAAGATATATAATTTGTGCTCATCTGTAAATTCAAAACAATATAAATTCCAAACAAAATTGCTCACTTGCAAGCAGCTGAGGGAAACAAAAACTAAAAAAAATCGAGGTATCAGTGAAACAAACATTACAAAAAGGAAAATTTTTTCATTTCAGATTTATGCAGAATCTTTTTGAGTGGACATAAAAGTCACATTCTTTGTCGGCTTAGCTCATTTAATACAAACAAAAAAAAAAAAAAAATTGAATTTGTGAAGAGTAAATAATATGTTATTAAGTGTAAATGAATAACCGTTTTGTGTTAATCAATATATAAAAGTTAGGCAGAATACTTCGACGCAGTATTTTATACCATTTAATGAAGAGAATATTGTGCACGCGCAGGTTGCAAGCTTCTACACAAAAATTTTCAGTATACGCGAATTCCACTAACTTTAATTTTTTCAAAGCATTACAAAAAGAATGGAAAGTGTTTGTAAGAAAAGCAAAAAGGGAGCAAAGAGCTCTTTTAATTGAAGAATTGAGCACACAAGATTCTTTTGGAAATTTTTAAATGATCATCGTCAGACTAAGAGAACATTTAATTTTCCGTTATGGAATGAAGCCAATAATAAGCTGTACTTAGATTTGCTTAAAAACAAGTTTTTTACTGGAACTAACATTGATATACCTTCTTTGAAGAAGTTTTTAAAGAAGACATGCCAAAAATATGTTTACTTTTTTTGATTTAGAAGCAAGTCATCCGGTCTGGATTCCAGGTGATTGCGACTTTTATTGAGATGAAAAAGCTGATCCTCATGTTCCCGAAGCTCTCCTTGATGGAGAAATTGTCTCAAACAAATATAGCCCCAAAATCCTTCCCGTCTAATCCGAAATAACATTATGGAAGACTGGAAAGACAAGTATCAAGATATAGCAAGTTTAAGTGAAGACTGTTTTTTGTAAAATTCATCTTTTCATGACCTGTAAACCTCTTTCTGATGTCAATTTTACAGCATGGGTGATTAAGGTGCTTAACAGACTCATGTGCAATCACATATATGACAAAGTTTTCTTAAAGATCGTTGGGCAGGTGTCATCTCATATATGTGGTAAGTGTTACGCAAAAGAGTCAGTTGAGCATCTTATGTTTATGTACAGTAAATTCAACAAGACTAGATATTCATTTGAAATTTTCGGTATCTGTAATAATTTATATGGAATCCTTTGCGCTCGCAAGTGAAATAATAAGCAGCCTTTATTGAAACTACTGGCTTCTCCTTTTAAGTCATTCTAACTATAATTAAACTTTTCGTCTTGTCTGCCAGTATTTTTAAAAAATTCTTATAATTCCATTAACCAATAATTCGCAGTCAGACATAGTGTGATATCAATCTTCTGAACTAAACTCTAGAACGGACAGTACTGAATGGACTTGAATAATAGCTAATCAAGAGAGTAATATCATTGCATCACCAATAAATCAATAATAGTCAGTACCTAATCTGCATCGCCGGTTTTCTTTGTTGTTTGGATTGCAAATAAATAAATAGTGTTTTCCGCGAGGCACCGGTGGTGGTTCATAGACCGAAGGAGAAAGTGAGAAGGAATAGAACCCTGAGGTGCTCCTGTAGTCAAGCAAAATCCATTTGAGCTCTTATTATACAGATATTTAAGAATTGAATTATCTATCAAACGAAACTGCTATTGGCATCAAATGAAATCAGTTCGGACACAAGAGCAACATGCCATGCTTTTTTGAATAGCTGGGAGATATGTGTCGCAATGATTTCATCGAAAAGATTATTAGCCAAATTCCACTTTTTAGTAAAGTAGACTATTAAATTGGTCGAGAATCAGTTTTAGTGGAAGCCATTTTTCCCGCTGCTAGTAAAGTCGCTGGGTTCTAGACATCTGATCAGCGCTCTTGATGTTTTTCATCTGGAAGAATAAGGGAAGTATGAAGACAGTTATTCCTTCGGTGATAGTAGCAAGTAAGAGTCTCAAGTATATTATTCAGCGAGCATAGTAGTGAAGTCAGAGAAATGCTATTAGTTAATTTTTAATCTTAAGTGTATGCACAATAACTGCGATGTACGCTCTCTCATTTCTGCCAAATCAGGCGAAAGCTAAATAGATCATATTTTGCGGTAATATTGCTTTTTAGATTTCGTATCGGTTATTCAAATTTGCAATTATAAGTAAAAAGAACTCTATAGGCATCCATCCTCTAACATGGTTAATTCATTTCGTGCTGTATCGAAATCCTCTTATACGAACTCCTTTTATTTTTTTATTTAAAACTAAAATGTCATATGGAATAACATAGATAAATGTGCACAACGTTGTACCGAAATCATATTTTATATTATAAAATTTTTGATACAAATGAATGAAAAACAAATTACCTTTAAGTTCTCACAAAAATATAAAATTATAAAACTCAACATTATGGTGGAATACAAAAATTAAAAATGTAATCACAAAATAATGATGACGATCACAAAAATAATTTGCTTCAAAAAGTACAGCTAATCTATTTTTTTACTCAATGTTGGTGGAAACCCCTCCTACTAACAATAAAATAAAAGCATAGATCAATTTAAAACAAGTAAGAAAGTTATATTCATTTGTAACCGAATCTTTTGTACCCGTCACCGTCGTCCTAAAAAAGACGTAAAAAATAAAAGAACTAAATTTTCATCATGTGGAGTGGGAACGGCTGATTATTTTTATTTTCAAAATAAAAGTTTGCA